ACACACATTAAATTTTACTCCAACTCGCAAAATGGAGTGCCCTCGGTGCCACGCAGCCATCGTGGTGCCACCGCCGGACCCCGCCGGCGAGAACCCCATCGCACTTCGGCTGTGCGCATGCTGTGAGCAACTGCTCGAGAGGGACGCATTTGCGAAGCGGAGGTGGGCAGCACTTGCTACTGTGACCAAACATTAAACCACCGCCGCGAAGCGGCGGTGCTCGGTTAGTTCCATTCAACGCCATCCGAACAAGGTGGCCACTTGTTGATGATTGCAGCGAGGACGACGAAGAGACTAGTGGCGGAGATGACACACCTAAAAGCACTCACGGCAACGTCGTGGAAGATGTAAAACGCGATAAAGGGAAACGTGTTTTATCCCAGAACGAGAAGTACCGGGCTGTCTCTGCAGCTTGCCAGCGGATCGCGGAGGGGGTTGCAGACTAGGGCAAACGAAGCTTTACGAGTTAGTGTGATTATTTGGAGCAAATAGTGCGAATGGTCCGCGATGACGACGACCCGCCAATCCAGACAACAGTATGTGCAGTATCAAAGCCAGCCGATCAGGAAGATTACAGTACATGTGATATCTGTGATGTTGGTAATATCGGTGACAAGATCACCAACCCAAGCACGAGCAACGATACGATCACCATCAGTAAATGTGGTGGTGGGGGTGGTGATATAATCACCAACACGGACGGCGGTGGTGATACGATGGCCAACACCATAACAGTGCAAGCAACAGTTCTGTGGAACCAAACGATGTAGTACGCAAGGCGGTGAGAGGTAAGCAGAAAGACAAGGGGTTGCAAAGGAGCACGCAGTCGAAAAAAATGTCAACACATTTGGCTAAGCAAAAGCTGGATTTGGACTGTAACGTTTACGAACTTGGACAACAGGAATATATGGAAAATGGAGTCAAGAGCGCACCTAAATTGAATCAAGCTAGTCGGCCGTCAGGCAGACCGAAACAAAAGAAAAGCTTCAAAAAGGCCAAGAGAAAAAAGAGATTGATGACACACTGGTGTTTGTGGACACCGTCGTGAATGTTGGTGATGTTACACTGGAAAGATTTGACAAAACCACGTTGACAAATTCTCTATCGGTTGAAGTGGTTGGAGATGCGCTGGATGGATTTCGTCGTATGTTCGATGGAGCTGTGTACAAGCAACCAAAAGTATTCGTGATGAAAGGCGACCCTATGCGAGCTGTAGAAACAAACGTCTGCTTCGTGCTCCCAAATATGTACTTAAAATCCATATATCCTTGTTGGTGATTATTGGTGACAGTAGCACCAATATTGGTGATCTATATTTATTCCTACCATTACAACTATTTTCTGCATACTAACGTCTTCAATAGGACAGTTTGTGCTGAAATGTATAGATGCAGCCAAGAACGTGAAGATCCGCGAGAAGCTTATCAATGATACGATGGTTGCTTCCGACAAAATCGTTATCTAGATATTGAGCGTAGGGACGTTCTCCCTTGTCGACATCGAGAGAACGAAAACTTGGCACGATGTGTACACACAAATCTCAAAAGCGAGGAAGCTTATAAAGTTTGCGGAGAGAGTTGCCTTGGCCTGCGATCACGAAAAAAAAAAACGCCGTCGACAGATAGTCAACAAGATCCGTTCCATGGATGTTGATGGTGTTTTTAATGCAGTTTGTCACGGCATTACGTTTACGGAGCTAACAGGGTGCGCAGGAGAGCAGTGGCTGAATGATTCGTGCGTCCACGTGGCCTCTCTCCGTGTTGCTACTGAGGCAATGATGCAACATTGGCGACAGGCAACGGTAGTTGATGTCGTGTATTCGATATATACGCAATTGGCGGACGAGGAAATAAGGAACAAATACCTCGGCACCAAAGGCCATGTCTTCACGAAGGTTCACACAAACCGCATAGTATGTTGCCCCACCTACATTGACGTGAGCTTCCCTCACTGGTGTGACATCATTTTCGACATGGAGCGCCGAAGCATTTGGAAATACGACCCGTTCCATAGAGAGTCTTTTCTCGATGAATTGGAGAGCATAAGCGCTCAAGTTTACATGGAAATGATGAATCCGGAACTGAAGATGGAAACTAGAACGTTTTACGGTTGGTGTCAACAAGATGGGCACAGTTGTGGCGTGCTAGTCGTGCACTGATTTGAGCAGAACTTATCTCTCGCGCGTACGACACCCCCCTGACAAGAATTTAACAAGCTTTCCAGTGATTCGGAATGGCAAAGTTGACCAGAAGCAGCTATCATACGAGTGATATACACACTTTTCCTAAGTATTTGACAGCATAATGTCAGGTATTGATAATGACAAATAAAACAATTTTTTGTATCAAGGCTAAAGTACGGCATAAGGGCATTTTATTCAGATGCTTACTTTGTGGATGAAAGCGAAATTTCCAATGCATTTTACTTGTGTTGTAACCCATTATAGATAAGAAATATCTAAATACTGATGCGAACCGGAGCGGCTTTCAGCGTAACCGACAAGGCTACGCCCGCTCTCTACGCAGAATATCGGTGAACGTAGGGAGAGCAAAAAAAAAAAAACTACAATATGCTTCACTTAGTGACGTTATTTAGAATCACCACAACTTGACTTCCTAGCTTGGGAGATGGGTAGATGTGCACACAGAGGCATGAGGTTTAGAAATAGGAATCGAAGAAATGCAGTTTATATATGGAGATACGGTAAATAGCGTAAATGCCTTGCCTAGTTTAGATTGGCTGCTTTAACATCTCTAATGAAGTTGTCGATCTGCCAATGAGCCGACGAGCCTTTGAGGGAGCATTTCCGTTATCAGCGTCGCGTAAAGCCTGCAGTGGTTTCGCAGCTCTAGGTGTAGAGTTTTTGAACTCATTCCGATAGTGTGTCACAGCAAAGCATTCCATGTGATATCCGACAAGACACTTGGTGCAACTAAAACGAGACTTGGACAACTTAATGTCCTGGATACTGCATAAATAACCACTTGTGTTTTCGCGGCTATGTGGAGTGAGAATGTGCATTTCACTACCGGCAGCGACGCTTTCCGTTAAGGAATCCGGACGTCTTCTTTTTGCGGGTTCAACTCTATGATTCCTCACAGTACTCAGAGCCAAAGTCAGTGACCCACACACTTTCCGTTTAAATACGCGTGGACTCCGAGACGCGTCAGGTTTCGTCTCGAGTTACTCAAAGCAAACGCGTTTATGATAGATAGATCCAGGCCCCCGTAAATAGAATCATCGATAGACGCTTTTCCTTCCGTCAAGTAGGGTTGGTTGAACGGCGCTGGTCCACTCGATCAACGCCGTTCATGGCAATATGGTATGCAGCAACTAAGGCAGGTACCATGATCGTCTTCCGGTGCATAATTTTTAATCCCTGTCTATCTGCATACCAGGTATAAGGACAGAGGCTACGTGCACCGTCTCGAAGTTGGACTGTGCAGCCAATGCACCGTCCTGGACATATTATGTGCTGTACGCTCAGGTGACAGCTCCGTATGGCTGGATAGTCGGATACGTCAGCGAACAAAGTACGTGCGTATTTCGCACAAGAGCGCAGCGGCAAAACAGGAGTGTTTGTCAGTGAGTAGTGACAGATTGTTGCAATACTTCGAATTTTTAAATAACACTCGAGCAGCATCGCTCTCTGGTTACCATATATAACATATACATGGTATTATTAATACTCTCCAATGTTCATACGCAGTACCTTCAACGTTAAGTAGATATTGCTCAAACTTTTTTTAACGTAAAAAAATCTCACATTGACGCTAAGATAAGACTCAGGTATCGGTAGCGGAAAAACTCCATCGCCTCTCTGCTACGACTTTCACTATCCAAGCCAGTCACTTGCACTCCATACAACTGAAGCTCGATGAAAAGGAGCACAAACACTCCACAATTGTAGTCGTCGAGTTGGGGCGCCAGGTCAATTCGTGTAAACCGAAATCGCTTCGGCGATTCCGGAGCCGGCAAAAGTGGAAGCACCTGCGTCTTGAGAAAACCTTTAATTGCGTCGAATCTATCGCCAGTGTTTTGTGGATCGTAGATAACAACTTCACTCGTCTTGAAGTTTACACCAACAGCGCACCAATGATTCCAGTCGTAATGGATAACTCCAAAGAAAAACAAATTGACGCTTGAGTCTCTCGATAAATCCATACTCGCCGCCGCCATTTTAAGCTTGCTCCAAACAGGGTGATCTTGAATTGCCTTGGTATCATATCGCGGGTAACGAAGGATCTCTGAGGGGACTGTGAACATCGTGGCTTCTTCGCTGTGTCGCTGTATAATTGCTTTCATACCGAGGTCCATGCTCGAGCTTTCAAGTGGGGTTTGTCCGCAAAACCCTGTAGCATCGTAGGTATCCCCGAGAACATCGACCTGTTTCAGGAAATCGAGGAGGGTCGCTTTGTTTGCCACCCCTTCGGTCCAAATTGAGTCGTCGGTAGTCCACGCAGTATCGTCATACTTCTCCACCCATTTCAATGCACTCTCAATACCGATAAACCGAGATATGGCCGTGTGCCAAGATCTCATTGCCTTCAGCATGCTCACGTTATACACGACCCCACCTGTCTGCACAGTTCTCCTGTCTGTGGCATTCTGGTTTCAAGGTCGCTGTACCATCGGTTTTGGAACTGAGCGACTTGTGCTTCGCCGGTTTCGATTCTCCGTAGAGGCAGCACCGTCCTTAACGTATAGGGGTTTGTCTCGGGCTTGTTACGACGCTCGAACACGGTGGTCTTCGCTTTTCTGTTTTGTTGAAGAATCGTCAGTGCACGAAGCGCGACTGCATGTTTGTAGGTGACGCCACTTTGAACGGCCTCCACTAAGAAACCGACGGATGGCTCCAAACCCAAACCTACAGCTTGCACCATCAGTGAAGTTTGTTTCAAACTGGTATTTAGAGCCGTCTTGCGAGAAGCAACCGTAACTTTCACTCGTCCCACCTTCTTAGTACACTTGGAGACCATCCACTTAGGTCGGATCGGTCGCTCCTTCTCCGCGTTCACCGAATTGTCGTCGCTAGAAGATTCGCACTCGTATCCAGACTGAGACTGTGTCACATTTTCAGAATTTAGCACACTTCCAGACAGAACCACAGGCTTCGATAAAACCACTGAACTCGACACTGGCTGCTCGTTGGGTTCTCTAACGCCCTGTGCAACCTCGAAGTGTGTGTCGTCAGGTACAGTGTCTCGTTCCAAATTATCCCTTTCGTTTTGCTCAGTTGCGGGTGGGACAGCGAGACCCTCGACGCTTTCCTCCGCTGTACCAGCCACTTGTGTCGCCTCAGGTATTGATCCAGTACTAGACTGGGTCCCCATTTCTGACTGGTGTGCTGTTTCGGTCTGTGTTCTCTCTGATTGACGGTCTGTCTCCACGTCACGGACCACGATAGGGCAGCTACCGGTTTGAGCAACTTGAAGAAACCTTTTAAGTGATGCAGATAATGCCGTATGAGCCTTGGTTCCACGGTAAGCACCGACATCAGCAATTTGCCGTCCAATTGAAAACTTCGCCGGCTACTAGAGCTGTGGTGACGCGAGGAGAAGCGACGAGGAGAGGGCTTTCTTCGTTTGGATTTCTTGCCGCGTTCGCGGACGGAAGAACGCCTTCTCACTCTCTTCTTCTTCTTCTTGCTGCGTGAGTTCGTCGGGGCTGCATTGTTGCGGACTTCCCTGTCGCTAGAGCTTGACGAGAGGCTTGCAACATCTTCTTCGCTATCGTCGCGGTGGCGGCGAGGCATCACGGTGCGGTACTCGTTCCAGTAGGGCAACGCTGTTTTCGGCTCCCGGTGCTGCTTTGTGGGCCGCTGATTTTGACTGGGGAGGGGGGGGGGAACCATTTTTAAACACTGAGAGTGATGGTCTGTATCCAGGGTGGGGTTACTGCACATCGGCAGATATCGAATAGATTTGTGACCCCTCAAATGCCCTTTTTAAAGACTGTGCAGGGAGACACTCTCCAGGTATAAGCCGTGACAACATGCGATGGCCTCACTAGAGGAATGATCAGTGTGCGGATTCAAGGTGCTCGGGATGCAATCCGTGCGAACAAGGAACGACGCGAAAAGGAACGACGCAAAAAGGAATGACACAAAAGGAACGACACGAAAGCGAGAATACGTCGGATTAAGCTGTTATATGTACGACTCTGCTGCTTCAGTCGGAACACCACTAAGTATTTAGAGTAGTGAACCAGTAACACGACGAAGCCCTCCATCCACGCCTTCTTTGTTGATATGTACTTTGTGGAATCTTGCCCCGCGCACTGTCAACTACATGAGATGCCATGCCAGAAATTAGACAGTCAAGGAGGTCGGCTAGCTTCACACTCAAGAACCTACAACTGAGAACAGCTCACTACCGGTGTTATCTAGTGCGTTCAAATCCGGTGATACGAACTTAGAAGGATAGTCACAAGAAACACACGCCAATTCTGGTTGAAAACGCGTTCGTCCAGGGTTGTATTCCTGACCGCCTACTCTTGCTCTAGAGACTGATGATTTTCCATTCGCCCAGAGGCTAACCCAACGCGCTATGCAACATCCCTACCAGCCACAAGCGTTTACCGCGCCCCGCGCCAGTAGCAGTATCAGCACACAAGGAACCATATGTCTTGCGCGGTGCTTCCCTAACTGAAAACTCGAAGCCGTTCATTCTGTTCTTCAGCACGACTAATTAATAGTGTGTAACGCCTGAAGGTCATCTATTAAATCAATTTATAATTCAAAACTGTCATTTGCTTACAGCTCTAATGTCTAAAACCGATATTTCCCGTTAAACAGTCGTTCTGCATGCCGCCAATTACAGTGCGCATTTGGTTATATTCGACATCCTGTATGGTTTAGAGCATCACCAGTATCACACTGCAAAATCGAATACCGGTGTTGGTGCTGGTGTTCACCGATATTCTTATCACCGACCATTTCTCTTCGAGAAATTATCGGACAGCGATGTCTAGTGATCGGTCGCTTGTCGCTATTCTTCGCAGTCTCCTCTGGGTACTCGAAAATGCGGCACTATACGTTGAGATTAAGCGTAGTTACCTGTATTGACAGTTGATCCGATGATGTTCGTTAGACATTCAAAGTGTACAGTAAAACCTTAAAACGCATCTACAGTGAAGATCCAAAGACGACCGTTTCATGTTTGTCACAAATAACATTGTAACGGTACTAATACTCTAATAACTAATCATGAGGCTCACTATCAGCCGCACCAGGTCGGTCTTGCAATAAGGTTTATATACTTCAATGTATAACCATTCTGAAACAATAAACTATTCTCGACGACGATCTACCGATCAATGTGCCAGTGGATAACCGTCATTAAAAGCCTTATTTTCATGAATTTCAATAAACTTCTGTTATCCCGTGATGGCAACAACGTCACCCCTGTACCAACTAATAATATTATTGTAAAACTATCAGCTAACCACTGCAGTGCCGACGTGAATAACGCAGATGTAAATGTATGAGGTTGATATTCAAACAGCAGTGTTTCACACTATCCTAGTCTCTTCAATACGCTCAAACCGACACTACAACTTCATCTCCGCACAATGTGCTTCACCGTACGCGTCCATACTGGATGTCACATCTCCGTCGTTCTGGCCGAGTAGCTTTCATCGCCCCCCGTCGAATAAGATTCCTTGCACTAGCTCTCCTACGATTGTTGCTTTCAAACCTCTTGAACTCACTTGTCATTTGCAAGGTCTATTGACTGCATTTCTTGTGCAATACTAATAAAGAAACGAACCATGCCGATCTACTTGAAGTTGCCCCCCCCCCTCCCCCCATGCGCGGAATCTCACGTTTGCACCCGATCCTTTTTTTACTTTCTTTTTTCGGATCTCAAATCGTAAATAGAAGATGTAATGTTTCCGACGAAGCTCGCCCAGCCACCCAAATTTCACTCTAGTTGCTTTGAAACGATGACTCCAACAGCATCAATCAGTGTGGGTCTGATTTCTTTGGCGATGTCGTTTCACTCCAAGTTCAGAACACACATGCGCAAAGCAATACTGACAGTTTTATCGGGGTTAGGTTATCAAATAAAGCATTCTACTGCTGCAACACGATCGAAGAAGTTTTGTTGCCCTGTGTCCTCTTGTTATTTCAGTTCTGCGCCAAGTGCTACAATCAAGTCGTGCGTATATGGACATGCCATGGTCAGTCAAACCACTTCCTTGATCAACTTTTGGGTCCAACCACGCAATATCGCTAATGACCTACTGCACCCCGCGAGGGTTTAAAGCTTCCTCGCGGTCGTTATTATTGTTTTAGCTCATTCTTTCATATGTTTAGTTATTGAATGCTTGGAATTTACGGCATCATATCACCGCTTATTTGGAATCGTTATGTAATAGTTAATTCAAAATCACACTTATCTATGAATGGAACACGTCGAACCCTGTCGCTTCATCGTTGACTTGTTGAAAAACCCAAACGTAGAACTCGCCGAAAAATTCCGATGAAGTAGTTATAAATCCGTTGAAATTTCCAAACCAAACGTGCGATATTGCCAAACGTTACCAATTGATTTTGCTTAAAATCAACGTCTGTGGCCATCGATAAAACCGAAGTATCCTTGCCAAGACTTTTTTTTAATCTCGGGAGCAGCCTCACCACACCGATCACTTCCGAACATTTATCATACACGGCCTCGATGCGAATGTAGTTGAGGTTCCGCTCGATGAATTACTGAATTGAATATAGATTTACGGATGCACCTGGAAGTTGCAGCACGAGATCTGTGCCTCGTATAATGGACATCTCGTGCTACAACTTTAGCATACAAGCAACTCCTGCTGGCCAAAGCCTCAATGCATATCGGATCAATGTAGATTGGACAGACTGATTCAGCAGAATGAACTCGCTATTCTATAGCGAAACGCCACCAGCAAGTTCGACACCACATACGCATTTTCTACTCGGCTTTATGTCATATGTAAGCTTTTATGTGTGATCTTGGGCGACGTACCTGTGGTAATTCACGCTTGTCTGCGTCTTCATAACTTTTACATCAAGCAAC